ATTACAAAAAAGGGTCTTAGTCTCTAAAAATATAGGTCTAATGATATTTTTAAGAATATTGTTTTTCTGTAAACATTGTATTCTTTGACATACGAGTTATTATGTAATTAAATGGCAAACAACTTATCAACTTAACTAGATTGTAACGGCTAATAATGCAAAACCGTTGCTGTAAATTCATTAAATATCATTAACCAATTTAAAATAATTATTCAGAAAGTCAATTAAAGAGGTTGTATGTTACAAAACGATCAGGAATGTGCGCTATTGGTGTTCTTTAGTCAAATAGTGACATAACTTTGCCGCACCCAAACGCTGTGACTATTGGAAACTGGCTTTATTTGGTGATGGGAGGTTCGATTTCCTTTTTCATATAAACGTTTCACTGCTACCTCGTTATATAACTGTTGAGGAAAAACTTTAAACAACTTTTTAGACCGCGCCAGTAAATCACGTAAGACCAATATGAGAATTAATGAAAACACACCATGATGTGTGAAATGTAGAATAAACTAGCTTTTGCCAGCGGCTTCGATTGCTTGGTCGATAGGGAAATGTTTAGTGGGATAAAAAATACCCTACCTGTATAACAAATTTCGTCGAAATCCCTTCATTCGTTTCGGCGTAATTGACGGACAAACATCCAAACAAAGAAACTTTCACATTTATAAATTTAATAAGATTTATAGGATTACTTTCTGAATAAAAATATTAACGCTATTAATAATTTAAACTATGCATGTATAACGAAAACAAAATTATAACTGTTGTAAATAAAACTTTACAGTTAAGGAACAGATTAATGTGATTTTTATTTAATATGTGTCAATAGAACAGTTGTAAACTTGCAGTTTGAAAATACATGAAAATATATTTAACAAATGATCATGCAGTTGTTTATAATAATAAATAAATATTACATTATAGAATTTATTATAAATTGTAATTTTAATTTTCTCACACAAATTTATGAAACTTTGATCGTAAACCGTTTAAAGCATCAGTTATATTTTCTGTTTTATTCAAATTTTATTGTCCGATGTATAACTACTCAATCGGAGACAAGGTTGCCCACGCACGAATTCCGAACCTTTATTATATTTAAATACAAATTTAATGCGTATGTTAATAGGGCTCGTTGTTGTTCGACCTTCATTCAAATTAGTTTGCCCCATAGAATTCAACAAATATAATTGACGACATATTAAAGAATGCGGATAAATTAGGGATTATATCTAATTTATTTGCATTCTATTCTATTTTTTTGTAAAAAATGAACATAAATATTAAAGGCTTCGATAAGAATAATGTGGAATACTTACTATTTCATGATGATTACAAAATATATATTAGACAAAGTTGTAGGTAGTCTAAACAAGTACCTAAAAATATTAAAATATTAGAGTTATAGGAATACTGAATTTGTATTAATTTTACTTAATCGGCCTCTTTGTCGAACTTTCTATATTTTACACGCTCCTTAATGAAATGTTATTTTTAATCATAATTTAGTTTATAACAACAATTTTAGATAATTTCACATGTTCTTACAATAACTGTTGACTGTAACACGGATTTAAGGTTAAGACATTTAGTCACGACAGTAAAATTCAAGTGTTTTATGGTGATTTCATAAACGACCATACTGTCACGGTCAATAATGTCCATGGAATGTTGGTCGGCTGCTGGTTAGCGCAAACGTTTATGACATTGCGCAACAGAAGAAAAAAAAATGCCTTCGTTTACGCGAGATTTTTAAAATAGCTACCTCACGAGATTGTGGTTGAGAATGTCGTAATATAGCTGGGAATAAGGGTAATCGGCGGAAAAACGTTCGAATACAATAACACTTGACATAAATCAATATAGAATGTAGTATATTATGTTCATATTAAATTATGTATGTACCTATAAACAGCTTAAGGTAAAGTTAAACTTTCTTATGTTGAAAATAAATTACTTAATACTTATCTTAACAGTTTCTTAATGATGTGACATTAAATTCTAGGGATTACTTTAGTTATTTAAGTTTTTAAGACATAAGTAAAACAATAACAAAAGCAAAACATTGTGATATTACAATAAAACACGAAAATTGAATGCTTTTCATCGGTTAACTCGTAATTGGAAAGAAGTTCATTTCTATTAGTTTTTTTTTTTTTTGTTAAATGTTTGTAATAAATCTAACGACATTACGAAAAGCAAAATGAAAATATTTAGTAAAAACATTGTAAAATTAAGGAAAATGGAAGTGTATTTGATCGTATTAGCTGGTTATAAAAAATTTAAACTGGTACAATAAAAACTTTTTTAATAAAATAAATCACTGATTAAATTCACTATGGTATTTGGCATGCCGGAACTCAGCAAACCTAGTGGACGCCCTTGTAGTAATTATTGATCTGCCATAGACTACCATGGCAGGTTATGACGACCGTGCTCAAAGTTCCGGGTTCGCACACCCAGCTGTATAATCCAGATGATAACAGTCAGTCGATCAGTTTCAATTAAAAATATATATATTACAAAAAAAAAAACAAAATATACAATGCTTCAATATTTAAATATCAGTTCCTAAATCTTTTTTATGCGGAAGATACATTTATATATAAAAGGCATTATATTGAACAATTTATCCAAGCCCTAAGCCATCTTAATGGATGGTTATACTATTAAATACACGTGTCATTTAACTACTCGTTAAAAAAGAAACTAGTATTATAAAATATATCAGTTTATCATTCCATACGAATGTTAAATACTTTATCACGTGATAGGTGTTAGAAAATTTGAATATCAAATTAATCCGAGAACTTGATCTTTGAATCTTATTTATCTTTATACATGAATTATTAGCTTTGATTGTATAAATATTTATTTATCATTGAACAATATCATTGTAGTAAAACAATTTCTTAAATTCAAAATTACGTAGTGATGTCATCTCTTAGATTTAAACTACCTAGTTCAAACAAAAACGCAAAGTTACCTTTCTGCATATTATTGTGGCGTTGCGACATCTAACACTTCTCGACTTATATCGCCACATTATATGTATTTTTAAACTATAATTGACTTAAAAATACATGAATACCTACAGTCCAAATAAATTAGTCAACCATAGTGGCTTTGACATAAATAGCAACTAATTGGTATTCTATAAGTACGCCAAGGTCGCCGTGGACGTTCACAGCTAACCGAGTGTTAGTTAATTGCCTAATCTGGTAAAAACCAAATAAAATACCTGTCGTACACTCGTACTCTCAACGTGATGAGACTCCCGATCGATTACAAACAAGGTTGTGGTAGTATACTACTATATTATAATTACGATCGACTGTTGTGACACAATAATTGAAATCACTGAGATAAAGTCGTTTATAGTAATATAAAAAAAGAGAAAAGATTTGATTGCTTATAATGAATAGGTTCCGAAAGAACTAGACCGATTTTAAAGATACTTTCATATAAGGGAAGCTACATCATACGCGAGTGACATAGTAGATTGTTATTTACGTGGGCGAAAAGTCGCGGGAGCAAGCTCGCGTCTAGAGTAAACAGTTGAAAAATGTCAGTACCCTCAAGTCAAAAATGTCAGTAGCTTTCAAAACTATAAATAACCTAAGTATTTTATAGAAAATAATTAATATTCTTGGTTTTTAAATTCCGATTATAGTGTATTAAATATTAGTTTTGGAGCAAAACTGAACTCAAATACACATACGGATAAGTTAATACCAGGCTATTTAATATTTCTGTTATTAAAATTCGGTGCACACATCATTTTTAAATAACTACAAAGACCTACATATAATATTCAAAATATTAATTCAAGGTAATAAAGAATGTCAAATAGTTAAAGATACTATTTTATAATATTCTATAACATAATAATTCCCAATACATATAGCCTAAATTATATCAACTTCGCTCATCAACAGTGGAAACGCACCTTTAGTTTCAAAGCTGCCACTTTTAATGAGTCCGTATAAAAGACATCAACGAGTCACGTTTCGAGTTTAAAACGTAGCGTCGTTCCATTGACAGTCATTCTCAATCCTCCTCTTAATATAATTGAGTTTATCCTTTAATAAAGATCTTAGTCATACCCATTTTAAACCTACGCTTTTTATAATAAGGATAAACTTTACTTGTGATTATAATATATGCATAAGAACGCGGTGAGATCAGTCTCGAAGATACTCGCTCAACTTGGCCGAAGTTGCTCAGATTACGATAGCTGCTATAATTATTATTATTGTGTTTTAACCATATCACACTATAGTAAGTTCGCAGCAGGTGTTACCGGATTTCGTTGGGTAAAGCAATAGTATTGCTTTGATAAATAGTTTATGTATGTAAAATGGTGGTAATATCACATGCAATTTTTACCGTAGCTTGGAATCAGTTTAGACAGAACTATAATGATTTTTCAACTATATGTTACTTCAATATTATTAAAAACATGAGCAAGTAAAAATTCATGTGTGGAATATACAATAAAATAGTAATACTAACTCCGAGCGGAAGACGCCGCGGACAAAAGCTAGTTTTTATGTATTTTAGTAAGTATAGACAGTATTGTTAGTGCTGATAATAGATTTTAGTTTGATTAGAGAAAAAGGTTGTATATTTTGTAAATTGGAATCAGTTCCTACCGACCTGTAAAGGGGTGGTTTCCTAATTCATATTAGGATAATATCCTGTTTAGGTACGCAGTAGAAGGAATACCTAAATAATTTGCTGAAAACTTAAAATTGATATTTTTGTTCTAAAATATCGAAATGCTTGTTCTATAGCGTCATTAGAATAAAATAATTTAATTGTCTATTTTAAAATGATAACAAATACATATTTGTGAAACATTTTACTTCATACACAAAAAAAACTTTTGAGAGAGAAGATTTCGAATCGTTCATATTGTTTCTGTGAAGATTATCCGTGTATCCTCCTACCTATATGTACGAGTGCTACCTCTGTTGCATCATAAATTATCGATAAACTCGTTTATCTTTATTAGCGTTGCAAAAATAGAAGACATTTCATTTAATAGAATAAGTCACGTTCATTCGTAAAAGTACTTTTAAAGATTTTTAACTAAGGGATTCCTTATACACAGCCAGCAATATACAGTTTTTATGTTGACAAGAATTACTAGAAGCTGTAACCTATTTAAGCATTACCACGTTACTTACATGGTTTTGAAGGAAATGTCTAACGTTTACTTATCTTCCGTGTGATTAAGTCGTTAACTAGACGTGTTTGATTAGTTTAGGCGATAGTATGTGACTTGTGTCATTAGAGAAAAATTAAACGTTGCAGAATTTAGAGTTTGCTAACAGTTCCAATTATAAATGATTAACAAGCGATTGGTCACGTGTAAAGGTATCAATTCCTGTGGTAATTTTAAAAGCAATATTGATCATTAATTAAAGGTGTTCGTTGAAATATCTTCGGATGTTTCAGAAACTCAAGTTAGCAAATAATTCCAGCAGAATATAATTCTGAAATTCTGATATTCCGCTAAATATAACGCAGATTGTATTTTGCATTGAATATTATAATCCTTATTTACATACGTATTTAGATCCATGGTGATAAAATAAGTTAAAAATAATCTTATTAATATTAATTGATAAGATTTAATGTGACTGTAAACATGTATTCAAGTGTGATTAAGTGACAAGTCACGAATATTTTCATCACTAAGCGATCGAATCAATCAATGGTCACGTCACTTTGACATATTCATATGTTTGACAATTTGAATAATATCCAAATGTAAATTAAGGAAGTATAGTTTGTTTTAAATTATTACTGTCATATTTAATATGTTTCAATAAGTCTTAATATCGAGTTTGAATTGGATAATTTAATCAGTAAAAAAATAACAAAACAGTTTTTGAAAAAGATTGTTCCATTTTCAAATAACCTTTGGTTTTTATTCTGTTTTTTTTTTAATAAAAATACCTTGCATAGTTCATATTGAGTGTTTCCTTTATCAACTAACATATTAAGACAAAACATAAAAAATACTATACAAAAAGTATTTATTTGAATATTTTTAATTTAAAATGAGTATCAATGAAACGAATAATGGAATTCCTTTACACAGCCAGCAACTACTGGGATCAGGCGATTTTTATTCGCTTTAAAGTACTTCATGTTTAATTACAAAAAAATAAGCAAATTATTTATTTAAAAGTAAGAGATTTCACGATAGACTATTTATTATTTAGACGTAAGCGTTACATAATATCGAAATCGGATATAATTACAAGCAGAAAAATGAATGAATAAGTATTTTTATGTAAATCAGAAAGTGAAAGTACGCTTAAGCATAATCTTATCTACAGAACTTGTAACGGAAATCTTACGCTTTCATATTGTATTTTTATAATTAAGATATACTATGTCATAAAAATAACTTGTTGATAAATAAATATGAATGAAATTAGGTTTCCCATTTATAAATTATTATATTAAAATATTTAATTTTCTTGAAATAAAATCTTTCCTCTTTATAATTTTAGTATAAATGCCATAAAATACTTAGTGATATCTATATACAATGATTTTCATTATCTTTAAAGTCGAAAAGTTTTCTTCAATTGATTTATACATATTTTACGCGAACTTGCTCTTATTTATTCTTCCCATGAAAATAATAACATTGAAGCATAGCGACACATAGCTACAATCCAGTAAAGACACAAAAATTATACTCTAAAATCAATTAAAATTCCATTATCATAGAGGCGCCTCACTGACGCATGCTTTGCAATCTTGCAAATGAACATAAACCGCAATTTGTCTACCGTGATTTTGTACTATTAACGTTAACTCGAAACTGATTATAAATTAATTAAAAACCATAATCAAACTTGATTTTGAAATTGTTGATGAACTTAACCAGACTCTCTTTTGATTATGAACAATAAACTGTAATTTACTGTAATAAATACCTGTCAAAGTCAGAAAAGACATATTATCATCAGATATGTGTAAAATACTAAATCAAACATAAGATCAGAAATTATTTCACAATAATAACACAAACACGCCTATGTTGTAATAATAAACACATTCCTTTCATATGAGTTGGCGACTATGGACTTCTCATGTGAAATTTAATACAAAAAAAATGAAAAACCGCGCTCTAATAATTTAAAAAAATTTTTGTTTATCAGCCATCTGATATTTAAGTTAAAATAAACTATAATGTTAGAATCCAATATTTTCAAACACATTTATGATTTGAAGATTTGATATAGAAATAAAATTCTAATATAACACTACAGTTAATATTTTTTTTAAGGAGAATAAATTTTACATTGCGCGTTTATGTTATACATAGCAAAAGCTTTTAACAATTACACCGTACAGTAATATCTTAAATTAATAGATATGTTACTATTGTATAAAGAAATATTTATAAATACTAACCATGTGTAATTTTCTCCTGCAGGCTACCAAGGAGCGGCGGAACAACTTCCTACGGCGCACAAAAGCAACCTCGCCTTCTTACACCACAGATGCAGATGTAACAACCACAGACAACATAGAAACCACCACAGGAAAATACACAAGACGCGCAGGTTCTAAATTCAAGAGCCGCAAGGAACCCGAAAAGGCGGGAAATGAGAACGAAAAAGCGAATGAGGATCGTGCAAAAGAGGACGGTCGCAAGCGGCCATCTTTGAACGGCGGCGCGCGGCGTAGTGAGAAACCAAATCGCACATTCGTACGCCGCAGGCTTGGTGGGACTAACTGTGAGTAGGGTTATCACTTTATTTTTGATGGTTTGTTTATTGAAGTCGTTAAATTCTCGTTATTGAATAAAGTATAGACTGATGAATGAAGTAATTTTATAAACATCAGTAGAACTATGATGCCAATACATTATTGAAAAAGGGTTTGTTATTGAAACGAACACAAATAAACAAGGTTTTACTATTAACTACATTGAGAGAAACTACACAACATTTTGAAATGACTAAATAAGTATCACAATTATGATCAAACCTTTCAACAGAAAGTAGGTTTTGTGGTAAACTACAAATATAATATAATAAAACTTTGATAAGTATCTAAATAATATAGAATTCAATATCAAGAGATTTATAAATTTATAATTATTAAACAAAACTGCCAGCCCTAGCAAAATCTGGTTTTCTGCTTGGTATATCAAGTTGCTAGTGTTACACCGGTGCGCATTATTACGGGTCATTCTCCATGGAAATCGAGGGAAAACGTTTTAAGGACGGGATTCTAAGCTCGTTTGAAAGTTAAGGTCAAATTTACATACTGGCTTATTGGTATCTTAATTATTTATTGTAACTGTCATTTTACTTAATAAGTTTTAAGAGCCCGCCTCGGTTGACTTGCATTTTTTCCGAGAATTTAACAATTATTTCCATGAAAAACTAAGGTTTTTTCAAAACAACTCTATAAAAGTTGTACTGTATTGTTAAATTATACAACGGTACAATCGCAGAAAAAATGTGTAGAAAATGAATAAATGAGTAAGTAAAATAAAAGAAAACACTTTAGTTCCTGTTATCATCTTTTTTTAAATATGGAACGCCATTCACATACACGCGTCAAGGTTTATTAATAATACAACTTAATAATAGATTGTGCTTACATTCTAATAACTTAGACTTTAGCATCGAATAAGTTTTCTCGAAGGCTAATTCGATGGTTAAATTAATTTGTAGCATTAACAATTTTGCTGTAACAATTTTGATATAATCAAAATTCTAAAAGACAACAATGAAAGATACTAAAATAACGGTACAGTCCACATTTAACCATTTTGAAAAACAGAAAACAAGGGGTACAATAGCAACAAAGAGGTTTAAAGAAAAACAAAAAATGATTTGTTTATTCGCCGCAAAACGATTTGTAAAAAGAACGCAACGCTTCACGGTTCACCACCCCTCGACATCCATCAGAAGATATCGAGACAATAGTTCCCACAAGATGAAAGTGCTAGTTTCACTGCGGTTTGCAGTTTCACTTGACTCTAGTAATTCATACTACTGAGGCATGTCATATTAGTTATTCAATTGAAAACTAGATATAACACACATCTTTTGCATTCTCACTATATTAGATGCAAAATTATACATATGTTTGAATAAAACTGCACTGTACAATATAACGTCTATTTACTACATTTTAAATATTTCATTCATTGAAATAACGTATTTTTTATACCTAGCTGTTTTTGTGCATCATGGCTTTGCCTATAGAACCTATAGAACTCGCATATGATGTATGTCCGTATGTAAGGTAAAATCTTTTTGCCGAATACAGCAATTAGCTCAAAAAATAAATGCAGTAAAAGTCCTTAAGAGGGCGCGTACTCCCAAATCACTTATATTCAACTTGTTTTGTACAAGGAAATAAAGTTCAAAGAAACTGTATTTAAAAATAAAAAACAACATTACCTTTGTAAAGGCTCTATCAGAGCCAAAACGTGAATTTATAAATTTTCTCGATAAGAGAAAACCACAAAGAAAATCACAAAGTTATCTCTAAGATTTCAAATTTTTTATTGTAATATATTATTTTTATAGGAAATTTAAATAAACATGGGAGTCACTTTGTAGCACTTTTACAATTATCTGAATAGTTTACGAGTACCTAATTAAAAACTGAAATCTCTTTTGGCTTTAAACCCCCTCTTAAAGTTAGTATAGCATCTTATATACTTATTACGTATTAATTTACTTTGATGGATGTCTCATTGGATTGACCTAGACATTTAGTATGTAAAGTACGATATCCTTATAAAAATGCTGTAGACCTCCATCGAGGTCACAACTCTACTTAACAACTATGCTAATTAAGTAAACAACTCATTCTTTTTTTAGGTTTATTGTGTCTATAAATATAAGACGAAGGATTGCAAAAATTCCTATCATCAGTATTCTTCTGCCTTGTTCCAATTTTAACTTACAATCAACGCTATGTACTCTTTCTTATTTATTAATTTACTTAAGCCTCTTTTATTGTATTCATTGAGTTAAAATGTAGCTATTATCTTATTATTTAAAACCCATTGTTAGCTGACATAAATCACTGTTTGACATTTTTTAACTATAATAAAGGTTATAGTCGGAAACAAATTATGCAATCAGCCTATCTCCATAGATTTTATATTAAAAATCTCAAGCCCTCCGTGGGTTCAGAAGGCATCGTTTACACCGGGGAAATTGCATACCTTCAAAGACCGCGACCGTCAAATTGACGGTATATGATAATTACGGAGAAAATATGATTGAAATATGTACCTATGTGTGTCATAAAAACAAAATTACGAATTTTAATTAATGCTTTTAATTAAATACTTTGATTAGTTACATAAAACATTTATTACAAATAATTTTTTTAAATACTTTTTTTACACATTGACCACAAACAGCTTTCTGGCAAATAGTACATAAGTCACAAGTGCGGTTCTTTTTACATTTTGAATTAATTTGACATTGTCGTCTTTTTTGTGATGTAGAAGGCTGTTCTTCTTCAATAGTTATGTTATCCAAACGTTGAAAAGCTGATGCACTTTGTTTTTTATTCACGTACTCTGCGCGAAGTTCACTTACAAGTTGTAGAATATAATTATGACGAGAAATGTTTTCACCTGTAACTTGGCGATAAATAATCCATGAATTTATGGCGGCCAAATCTAGAATATTATAGAAGACGTGGACTGGCCATCTTCGTGTTCCAGCTCTTACAGTGTATTTTCGTGCCATTTGGTCAATTATATCCACGCCTACCTTAGTTTCGTTATAAAATTGTATAGTCTCCGGTAGTTTTTTTTTTGACTCAGCATCAATATGAATATTTTCGTGTAATGTACTCAATACAATGACATTTTTCCCAGGTTTACCTTGATAAATTGTTAGGGTTGTGTTTGTTGCCGATTTCAGTATAAAGGTTTCATATCTCTTTGTACGAATGTTTCTACAATTCGCTGGTACTTCTCGTCTTGCCCGTCTCATTGTTCCAACAATACTTGTACTTTCAGATCTAAGCTTTTCTGCCAATTTTAGAGATGTGAAAAAATTATCCGTTGTAACGTTCCGACCTTTTTTGAGGTAAGGTTGTAACAATTTCATAACAACATGTTCTGGTAACGACATATTACTTAGGCGCTCACTATCTTTTCCTAAATAAGGAAAACCCCCACACAGATATTTGCTCTCAACATCCACTAATAACCAAAACTTTATTCCAAATTTATCAGGCTTGTTCGCAATATATTGCAAAAAAGGGCAACGTGTTTTCGATGGAAATAACTGCTCATCAACAGTCATATTTTCACCAGGAATATAACACATTTGGCAATTTTCTATAAAATTATTCCATATATCAGAAATCATTGCAAATTTGTCAGTAGATAAACGTGTATTACGCGTGCTTCTCAAATCAAATCGTAAATATTTTATTATTTCTTTGAATCTATTTTTACTCATAGTATTTTTGAAAACTGGCGGACCCCATTCTAAGGACCATAAAATGTCTAGGTCTAAATGGCTCATGTTGTAAGCTCCACGTGCATAAATCAGTCCAATGAAAGCATCTAATTCATCTAAAGAAATTTCCCACGATTCATCTTGACATTTGATACGTGCTTCAGTTTCAGTGCACAACTTTATGCGTCGTAATATAAATTCTTGAATAAAAAGACGCCAAGAAGTAATAACTTTTTTGGATTCTACATACCGCTTTGCATATGGAGTGGGACCTGGGTTTTCTCTCAGTACATTTTGCCGACTTCGACGGCCCGTCGTTCCACCACTAAAACTAGGAATACACGTCCATTCAGTGCCATCACTAGCCACTTGTCTCATACCTATTTCGGGTAATGATGACGTTCTGACTTGCCTCCCACCACGTGTTATACTTCCCGAATGCACTGCTCTTCCGCTGGATCCAGGTCTTCTGCCACGACTTCTACGTATACCACGTTCGCTGTGTAAATTACTGTCCTGCGTTTCACTGTCGAAATGACTTTCAGTTGGAATGTCGGCTTCTGAATCCTCAGATGTAGAACTTTCTTGGTCTAGCTGAAAGTCTTCATCTTCGTTATCACAATGCGTTACTGATAATTCATTGCCACTTTCATCACCTGAGTCATCTTCTACAATATTACAAAGTTGCGATAACTCTCGTTCTATTTCTAAACTCGAGAGCTGTTTGGAACGCCGATTGGAACTCATTATAAAATAAACACACGACAATTCTCTTCAAATAATCAGTTGAAACTGTAAGTCATGTCAATAAACACAACATATAAATATATAGGTAAGATAAGAAGGTAGAAACAAAACTTTTGTTTATAACACTTCAAAGTATTCAAGTGCCGTCAAATTGACGGCGTCCGGTCTTATTAGGTATGAGTAAGCATACCCCGCATATCAATCATTATTTATTTATTTTTATTAAGTTAAAACTTATACAATCATAAGTTATGAAAAGTCATTAAATATGAATACAAACTGAAATACAGACAAAAAGTTATTAGCCATCAAAATTATTTTGCCGTCAAATTGACGGCCATGGCCCTTCTAGTGTTAACATCCACAAATCTATGCTCGAATGAACAGTTTTTACCATTGGTTTATAACATTTCTGACCCGTGGAACACAAAGTGGTTCACCTAGGTGTTCCACGTTAACTTTTCGTACACCTGGTTCACCCCTAGGTTCTGCTATTCAAAATAATGTAATCATAGTTCACCTAACTATGCCCCGTTATCAGAGATGCAATTTGGTAGCCGAACGTTTTAGAGACTTGTAAAAATATTATAATGTCGATAATGATACTAAGTTTTATATAAGTACAGTCAAAGTACGTTAGGTTATACAAATTTTAAACTTCTCCTTTTGATTTTAAACCTTAATTTTTATTTATACTCGTGCAATCACTGAAAAAAAGGAAAAAAAGTAGCGTGGACATTTTTTTTATTATATATTTAATTTTTACCCACCTCCAAAAATATCATACTACCGAATTACACCTCCGATAATGGGGTCTACTTTTACTCAGTATTAAGTAATATACTTAAGGAAACCCTGTGGCCTGTGGTGTACATCAATAGACTGATCAATATCAAAAGGTATGCTTCCTGTACTAATATGTTCTAGGGTCAAACCGTGGGTGGTTTCCATTGTGTGTGATTTAATAGATCGTCCAAGTGTATTATCAACTGTGATGACAATAGCTCATAATCATCGGTTATGTCAAACTTGCGAGGGAAAGTTCTGGGTCAACATGCAGTGGCAGGCACCTCACCCGCGCGCTTACGTTCCTTACACAATCGCCATTGTTCTGCCCAACATCAATGGAGGAAGTGAGATAGATAGTGTTTCGATTTGTAAAATAATGACACGTTTTATGTGAACTTTGTGGATATGTTTTTTTTTCTTTTTCTTC